CTAACATCAGCGCGTCGCAGGTACCAGGTCGCAGGAGGCGGTCCGCAGCTAAAAAAAATTTGCCCCAGATGCTAGTGCCGCAGAGGATGGCTATCGCGCTGCTTTTCTTTGGTTGGTCGGCAGGGGACGAGGGCGGGGTTGAGGGTACGGGCGTGGAGGGGTGATAAGGAGCGCTCGGTGCACGGGGCGCGCGCGGGCGGGGCGGGGCGGCGTTCTCGAGCCTGCCGCTGCATCGCGACAGCGTAGTAAGGCTGCCATCCACAAATCTCCGACAGGGCGGACTCGATGGCGAGGTAAAAGCAGTCCCCGCACGCCTCAATGTAGTCGACCGAGACGTTGGAATCATTGCCGAGTCGCGCGCGCACCTGCGGCGCCGGCAAAAAATCATTCCCCTTTACACCATGTGGGCAACGTGGTGGCCCGAGTGGCGGGCGCGGCCGCTTCTCTGGGCGGTGGGATCGTAGGGGTGGGGGGAGGAGGGGAGCCCGCGCACCGCCGAGGAGCGCGCGCTCAGCATGTCCAGGGTGCCCTCCCTCGCAGGCTGGGCGCCGGCTGCTTTGCGAGGCATAGAGAGGGCGGAGAGAGAGCGGGGCGCAAAAAGTGCGAGTCGGCCGGCGAGGTGCGCGGCACGCCTAGGATGCGCGGTCGACCGGTGTGGTGTGCACCGCGTCGAGGGGAGCGTGTGTGTCGGGCCAGTGCCAGGGGCGCGCGCGCGACCGGGGTATGAACACCTCAGTGTGGGAGGTGACGCAGTTGAGAAGCGCAGCGCCCCTGGTTCGCTCCCAGAGTCCTAGGGGTGGCGAGCCGCTGAGTGCTTGTGAGTTTCTGTGTCGGTGTGTCGCTCCAGCGTGCCGTCATCTCCTGTCTTGCGTCCGCCCATGCCGCGCTGGTGTCCCAGTCCGAGACTGGCTGACTTTCACCTTCCAATCAATCAATCGTACCGTGCTCCGTGTCGTGTAGCAAGAGGCGGCCGGTGGAGGGTTGACCATAGAAAGGTAGGGGTGAAGGGGTGGGTTTGGATCGCTTTGCCGCGGCGGCTCCCGATAGGTTTATTTAGGTTTGTTGGTTTTTGTGTTGTTTTAGTTCTGTTTAGGTATGTTGTTGGCAAATCAAGACACAGAGCTCACACACGGTTACTGGACCGTGTTCAACGACGTTGAACATTGTTCAACGTCGTTGAACACTACTTAGGAATGGCCGTAGCTCCTCTCCACGAGCGATTGAGAAGACGTACCACGTGTCGATTCTGTATAGAATTGCAAGGCGCACACGCTGGTGCAGGCGGGGAGTCGTCGATCCGACTCGTTCCGACGTGAAGTCGCCGTGAAGGATTGGCAAACAGGGCATTTTGCCCAAGATTTGCCCTCCCGCGCGATCTTCTCGCGTCGGCAAGCGCGCGGGCCAGGATGGGCGAGCCGGTCCCGCCACGCTGGACGGGCCAGCGGCTGGCACGCGCCGGCCACTCCGGCGGCGCGGCGGCCTCATCGCGCTCGTCGTCTGCGAGGCCACCGCTCGGCGTCGCCGCGTCCGACGGCGATGGCGCTTGGCTGTGAGGTGGGATGGCGGCATGGTGCGCGCGGACGTGGGGGTGGTGCGGGATGCGCGTGCCAGCAAGCATAGTTTCACCTCCCCAACCCCGCAGGCGCGCCGACGTGCTGCCCGAGCGCGTTTGGAGGCAGCAGCAGCTCCTCGCGAGGCGCCTTCGGAGGGGTGCCACACCCCTTTCCCAGCCGCGCGCGAGTTGAGCTCCGATTTGCGCTCTTTTTCGCACACGCCCGACACTAGTAGGTGAGGATCGACCATCCTCCGCAAGCAGGGCTTCGTCGGGCGCGTCTTCGTCGAGCGGTGGTGCATCTCCCATGCTCCCACCCGCGCCCTCCTCGCAGCGTGCCCGCGGCCGACACCGACGCCCTCACGGGCTCACCCTAGTCGTAGGTGCGGGTGTTTTGCGTGCCCTCCGTCGATACGGGGCGCTGGGCGATGGCTGGGCTTGTCGCCGGGCGAGCTGGCCCCTCAGTCGGCCGCGGAGCGGAGATGCGAAATCGAGGCGGCGCGGCCCCTGCGCGCAGCCTATCCGGCCGGCGCGCGCATGGTTCCGTAGCCCGTCTAGTGCCTCACTGACCAACTCCAGCGCTACGGTCTACGTGGCCGGTGTGGTACTGGGGCTGGGCAGCCTTGGGGCCGGCGGAGACCGCCGTCTAGCGGTCGCACTAGTCGGATATCGTTGTTCAACCTGTTTGTTCAACGGTTGTTCAACCATACTTTGAGCCTTAATTATTAATTCGGGTTTGGGTCTCTGAGGTCGATACTAGCGTCTATAACTTGCCACAAGCATGCTTTACAAAAGTCCAGCGGAGCTGGACTCGCAGAACGGCCGTTCGCGCGCGCTGTGAACAGCGCCGTGGTTGAACACTGTTCAACGTCGTTGAACACGTGACGGTCCAGTAACCGCACAGGATCACAGCGGGAGGAAAGCGGCGAGTCGCAATTCCAGGGGTCGTTGTGGCGGGCCACCCTGTCCAGAGCCCGGGATGGTCCGGGATGGGATCTTTCGATCAAGTCTGTGAGCCCTGGCCGCCTCCCAGTTGGTTGTGCAAGGTTGGAAAACCAAGCAACGGAGAGGTCTCGGCAGTTGAAGGGTATCGACACATCAGGCAAGTCTGGATGTCGCTCGAGAGTCTCCAGCAACGCCCAGGCCAAGATGGGCGTGCGGCGCAGCATGCAGCCCGTGGGTGCCAGTGGAGCGTACAAAAGTCGGCCGCGTTGAATCACAAAGAGCGTCCGGCCCCAGCCTTTGAGGCCTCGCCAGGTCTTCTGCTGCTGCCCCAGGCTTATCGATCGCGGTGAAAAGTGACGCAGCCAGTGCTGTGGAAGCTGCTGGATACCCTCGCGAAAGAGAGTGTCGTTGAACGGGCAGGCTTGACTCGGCATATATGTCTGGCCAGCGCACTGCGGGCACCGCCAAGTGACGACTTTTTCGTACGGCCAGTAGGAGGGTGCCCTTCCAGCGCGTGCACGCTTCTGACGCAATGCGCGTCACAAACTGCCTCGGATTGGCTGCTGGCACTCTCGAGGCTATGCCTACACAGCCTCGCGCGCATGGGCAGTCAAGAGGGACCATGAACCTTCTCAGGACAGCGCCGGTGACTCTCTCTTGGACCGGCAAACGTGGGGGTCTCGTGTCACCAATGTGGGACCAGTGCGGCATCGCGCCATCGACAGCTCTGAACTGCGCCTCACCACTGACCGGGAAGGCCGCCAAGTGGGTCAGCACCGGTCGCACATTGTGGCAGCAGTCAGCAGTGCATGTCTGAGAGTAAGGATCGCAGGGTGGGATCGTGTCAAGCCTCTCGCCCGGCCGGCCGCGTGCAGACGTCGGGGCCTGTCTAGATCTGTCTGCTGTCTGGAGCGATCTGTCGGCGGTCAGTACCGATCAGGTTAGAGTTTTCTTATGGCTAGAGGGTCTATCTGTATGTACTCCTCGAGATCTCTCCAAATCTGCCCTCTGTTAGACCGGGTTAGATCGGGAAGTCGGTGCTCTGAGCGACTCTGAGCGCCGGAGCCCCGTTTCCGCACTGCTGCACGGCGCATGGTGCCTCCGGGGGCCCCCGCCTCCCCAGAGCAAAAACATGCCAAAAAAGCACGATTCTCAAGTTGGGCCCTCAACCCCAAAATCGAAGTCGACCGCCGAGCCGTTCCCCCCCGCCCACCCAACGTACTTTTAAACAACCATAGTAAGAGATCATTTACCAGGGGCTCATTTACCAGGGGCCCCTCGTCCTGGCTCGCACCCTCGTCGGCAGCGGGCATCTCGTCGTCGCCCTCCGCCGTGGCCACCGGCGCCGCGCCGGAATCGAGCGCGGGCTCGAGAGCGCGTCTGATCTCGGCCTGAAACTGCCGGATCCAAGCAACGCCGACGCCGTCCGGACGTTGGGCGGCAACGCCCAAAGCACTGCATAGGTCTACTAGTATCCCAATGCATCGCATAGATCTTTGCAAAATGCCCCTTCAACACTCGCCAACGAGGGCTGTTCTTCGAGATGAGCTGAAGGTAGCTTGCGTATTCGTGGGGCCAGCGTTGCTTCGAATTCCAGCTGTTGCGCGCCAGCTGTCACTTGCCCCAGGCGGCTGCCTCGATGATACCCCGCACTTGGTCGCGCACGCACTTCGACTCGACGTTAACCGCCTTGAGTGCCTCGGCCAGCTTCGCCGGAATGGAGTCGAGCGCAGCTTCAGCCTCGTCGCCGCCGGAATCGTAAGGCGTGAGCTCGACTGCACACGAGTCCGCGTCCTTTTGGCGGAAGGCCACGTGGCAGCCCTCGTCGGCAAAGTCAACCAGAACGGAGCACATCTCGCCGACCGTAGGTGAGCGGTCGAACTGGACTGAAAAGGCGGTCGCGGCGGGGCCTAGCAGCACGGAAAAGGCCATAATTTCGATCCAGCATTCGGCACGGGGGCACGATCTTAGTGGGAAGTTGGCGTTTCGCAGCCTTGTTATTGAGAAGAAAATACGTCCTATGGCGCTGTGCGCTGGTCTGTGATTCACACAGCCTTGTTATTGAGAAGAAAATACGTCGCGCTTTGCGCTGGTCTGTGAGGTTGAGGCGCGAGCCCTGGAGGCCCTGGGGATGGGGGGAGACTGCTTCACAGCGTTGGCCCTCAACATAATTAGGTTTTACAAATAGCGGGCAGCCGACGCCAGTCCCGATGCGCTCCGAGCCTCCGCTGTTGGAGCACCAAGCCACCCTGTGCAACCCTGCATTCATGTCAAAGGAGCCCGACGGAAACTGGACTGTGAGCGATCACCGCCTCTCCCAGCATCGCCTCGTGCGTGCCATGATGCGTGGCGTTCCCCGAATCATGCGGAGAACGCCGGTTGACGACGTCCATCCCGGCTTGGCGCTTCCGGTGGTTTACGTATACTTTGGAAGGGCGAGGCTGCGCGAGAACGAGTACCTATGCTGCACTCTGCGCGCGTCGTGCGTCCACAACCGCGTGGTCCTCGTCACTGATGCGCAGACACTGTGCTGGCCGGAGGGCAAATTGCCGCGCAACATCCACATCGTGTCCCTCGCCCAGCTGGAGAAGAAGAAGGCGCTCCCGCTGAGAGCCTTCCGAGACTCCTACTGGCGAGCTGGGCGGCTGACCCCATGCAATCCGTGGGAGCGGCACAATCACGAGCGCTTCTTCATTCTAGAACAGTTGATGTGGGATCTGCACCTCGAGCACGTCTTTTACGCAGACGGCGACGTGGCTGTCACCGCCCCAATTCATCTCGGGATGCTGCCTGCTGGCTGTGACGCGCTTGTTGCGCTGCGAGGCATAGAAAAGGACGCTCCCCACCCACTTGCGTGGAGCGTCTGGGCTGGCAGCGCCATTCTCTCGCGCGCTTTGCTCGGTGATCTTTGCAAGTTCGCGCTGGACGTCTTCAACGAGCCGTACACATGCGCAATGCGCCTCAAGGCGGCGCGCACCACTGCTTACTCGTATATGAACGACATGGTCTTCTGGTCCATGTTTGTCGCGGCCTCCTCTCGCAATGCACCTCCGCCGCTACTCCCGGGCACGAATCAGAGAGCGTTCTGTGACGCCGCAGATGCCAACATCGATACGATGGGCGTTGCGTCCTCGGGCCGATATCAATTCGAAGCCAAGACGATCCGTGCCTGGGACTCTGGCGCACCCATGCGAACGCTTCACTTTCAGGGGCGCAGCAAGGACTGCGCGTGCAAGAGACTTGAGCAATCGAACGTTTGTCAAAGAGCCATCGATGCGTCGCATTGTCACTGGGGCAACGGGACACCGAGCTGGATCTGGCGGTATCAACCTCCCCTAGTTTTGCAGAGACATTCGAGAATCCTGCGCCGTGCGAATCGTAGCACTCGAGATCACTCTCCAGGCCTGTCTGCCCACCACCCGACGTTGCGAGTACGCGGCCATGGAAGAAAAAACATACACGATAAATAAATAAATAAAAACGGACACCTCTCTAGTGTGAGATGGGTAAAAAGGAACAGGCCCCCGCCCTTGCGATCTTTGTGCAGGGTTCTTTGTGGGTGTGGTCGGCGACTAGCCGGGGTCGTCCTCCCGATGGGGGACTAGCACTACCCGTCTTCCACATGTTCCCTCGGGTCCCTGTGCTGCTCCTAATCTCTTCGTACATCCTCCTGCTGATCTCCGCAAAGTCCTGCTCCCTCCCTCCTCTCGCCCTGCGCGTCTGCTCCGCCTCACCGTCTTCTGCCCTGCGTCGTCTGGCGACGGGTCCTCCATAGTCGGTCGAGGTCGCCGCCCTCCTCGTGCCTCTTCCCAACGTTCCCCCATACACGATACACACGCAACCAGTAAGATATAATAAGTCCTCCATCACAGAGGGAATCGACCACCGTAAAGAGGTGAAAGAAGTTATGTCAGCACGACCCGAGTGCGGAGTGGGCCACGAGCCACGACGAGCCCGGGTCGCCGGGATCATCCCGCTTCGTCCCGCGGACCGCACCGTCCGGGCGCGGTTCCCGCGCGAGAGACCGAGTCCGAGAGTGGCGGCCCCGCGAGTGTGACCTGGAGAGAGGTGTGCGAACAGAAGAGAAGAGCTCCCAACCACCAGTACCAACCACCAGTACGGCTCTACCCAGCACCAGTGCAAGAGCCGCCGCGCGCCTCCTCGCGCCCCGCGAGACCAAAAGGCGAGCCTCACAAAAGGAGCCCCCCCGCCGGCAGCGGCCCCTCACCGACGCTGCCATCCACAGAGAGCGACTCCAGAGCGCGGACGCTGGCCTCGTCGCCCCTCTCCCCAGCACCTGACCCAGAGTCGTCGAGGGAGGGTGGGAGGGGCTGCATCTCCGCCACCTCGACGGCTCCGGCCGCGACGAGCGCGGCCTCAGCCTCGGCGTGACCGCCGCGCCTCGCGGCCCACAGCGGCGAGAGGCGCGACACCTGCGCGTGGAGCGCGAGCCGGGTTGGCTACAGGCACCGCGGGAGGGCCAGGCACCGTAGAGGCCCGCGCACCGCGCCGCTCCCCGCCACCGTCGCGACCGCGTTCGCGTCCGCCCCCGTGGCGAGCAGGCGCCGCACGACGGCGGCGTGGCCCTTCTCGGCGGCGAGGAAGAGCGGCCGCTTCGTGTGCCCCTCCGTCGCATTCGAGAGCGCCTCCATCCCTCGGATCTGCGGAAAGCGAGAGGAAGCGTGAGCAAGCCCTGCCGCGCGGCGCCTCTGTCCAACGCCGCGGAAACGCCGCGGAAGCGTGCCGGGAAGTGGGGTCAAGGAGGCGGGGAGGAGGCGGTGAAGGGTGTCTCTCGGAGCGGTCGCCTCCAGCTCCGCCTCCACGGGCGCGCCAGCGGCGAGCAGCGCCTCCACCGCCTCCTCGCAGCCCGAAGCGGCCGCGGCGTGCAGCGGCGCGACGCCCGACGCGTCCGGCGCGAGCGCGCTCGCGCCGCGCGCCAGCAGCAGCGAGACGAGCTCCCCCGCCGCAGCCTCGCACGCCAAGTGCAGCGGGCGGGAGCCGCCGCGGCTCACAGCGTCGACGGTGGCGCCCGCCTCGAGCAGCGCAGCAGCGACGTCGCTCGCGCCCGCACGGCTCGCCCAATGAAGAGCGGTGGCGCCGCTCGCGTCCGTCTCGCCCACCGCCGCGCCCGCCCCCAGCAGCGCCCTAGCGACGGCCAACCGGCCGCGCTCGCACGCGCAGTGCAGCGGCGTCTTGCCCGACCGCTCGCCCCGGACGGAGAGGCTCGCCCCGCACTCGACCAGGGCGGCGACGGCGCCCCGTCCGCCGGCCGCCGCAGCGAGGTGCAGCGGCGCATGCTCCGAGGTGGCGAGCACGTCGAGGTCGGCGCGCGCCTACATCGCGGCGGCAAGGCGTGACTCGCGCCCCGCCCCGCCGCCCCACCGAGCCGGGCAGCTGCGCGCGCCGATGCGAGCAAGCGGACCGCACTACCCTGGTCGGCCGCGGCGGCGACATGCACCGGCAGCAGCGACGCGCACGGCAGCGAGGCGACCGAGGCGTCGGCGTCGAGCAGCACCTGGAGCACCTGGAGCACCCCCGCCGCCACCGCGGCGTGCACCGGCGCGCGGCCGTCGCCGTCGAGCTCGTGCTGCGGGCAGCCGACGCCGAGCAGGAGGCGGGCGCACGGCGCAGAGCCGGCGAGGACGGCGAGGTGGAGGGCGCCACTGCCGCGCGAGTCGCGGAGCCCGGCGTCCGCCCCGCCGGCGAGCAGCGCGGAGAGGGTGGCGGCGTCGCCGGCGCGCGCTGCCACGTGCAGTGCGCAGCACTCGACTGCGCCCCCTCCTCCCTCCCCCTGCACGGTGCCGTACGCGTCGATCGGGACGCCGCTGGCAACGAGCGAGCGAAGCATGTGCACGTCGCCCTTGGCGGCGGCGAGAACGAGCGCCTCGCCTCCGAGGTCGAGGGCGGCGGCGCGCTCGGCGCGCTCTCTCCCCGCCTCCGCCCCGCGCGCCCGCTCCCCTGGCCGCGCGAGGCAGCCGCCGTACTCGACCGAGGCGGACGCGCCGCCCTCGGCGGCGGTGGCGGCGAGCGCCTCGGCGCGGGAGAGCGCGCCGCACCGCGTGATGACGATCGGGGTGGCGGGCCGCTCGGTGGCGTCGGTGGGCATCTCCTCGAGCTGCCGCAGCAGCGCCATCCCCGCGACGAGGCGGCCAAACACGACGTGCTTGCCGTCGAGCTGCGGTGCCGGCTGCAGCGTGACAAAGAACTGGCAGCCGTTGGAGTCGCGGCCCATGTTCGCCATCGAGAGCAGCCCCGGCCGCGAGTGCGGCAGGTCGAGCCGCTGCGAGGCGCAGGGGGGGGGGGGGGAGGGGGGCGGGCGGCTTTGGGGCAAGGGGCGGGGAGGCCGGTAGCGGGGGCCGGGGAGGAGAGAGGCGGAGAGAGGCGGCGCCTCGTCCGGAAAGGTGCCGGGCACGCGGTCGTCGTGGATGCAGGCGGCGCCGGAGCCATCGCCGCTGATGACATCGCCGCCTTGGAGCACAAAGCCACGCACCAGCCTGTGGAAGGCGCAACCCTCGTAGCTGAGCCTCCGCCCCGCCACGCTCGCGCCGGCGCAGAGGGCCGCAAAGTTGGCCGCCGTGCGCGGCACGAGGTCGCCAAAGAGCTCCGCCACGAGTCTGCCCCGAGCCTCGCCGCCGACGCTCAGCTCGAGGTAGGCGTGCTCGCGGGAGGCGGCGGCGTCGGCAGCCGCCGCCGGAGCGCGAGTCGAGTCGAGAGCAGCGCCGCCGCCGCCGCCGCCGCCGCCGCCAATCGCAATCGCTGGTGCCGCTGGAGAGGCCTTGGCGGTCCCGGTCGGCTTTGCCGGCGCGACTCGGGCTGGCGTCTTGGCCGGCGCCGGCACCGCCCGCGCCGACACCCCGCGCAGGGCCGCCTCGGCGTCGCCCCGCGACACGGCCGCCATGTCGATCGCTTCGGCCTTGGCGGCCTGCGCGGCTCGGAGAGCCTTCGCCACCTCGCCTGTCGTGAGGCCCGCCTCGCGAGCCGCCTTGGCAAAGTCGGCCATGCTGATCGCGCCGGTGCGGAGGCTCTCGAGCACGTCGTCCTGCCGGCGAGTGCGCGCGTCGGCGGCAGCCGCCTCCTCGGCGCGCTGGGTGGCGAGCCGGCGCACGTTGCTCCGCCTCGTCTCCTCGTTCTCGCGGACACCGTCCGAGTCGTAGTCGGACATTCGGCGGCGGCAGAGCGGTGAGGAGACAGAGTGAGACACAGGCGGCAGAGCGGTGACGGCGGCGAGTAATTTTTTTACCAGATTTTTGTGGCGAGCCGTAGAAGACCGAGTACACGGGGACGCACTGCTGGAAGAAACGACACCTCCCGCAGCGCCTTGAACATCGCCACGCGGCATGTAGCTATTCCTCTTTTTTTTCCGAAGCCAGATTGCGCCGACCCGGCTTCCTGCACAGACACGATGACAGACAGCGTCGGCTTCATCGGCCTCGGCATCATGGGCGAGGGGTGCCGACCGCCCACCGCGCCTCGGGCTCCTGCCGCCTCCCGGCCGCTCGCCTCACGCGCCACCGCCTTGGGCCCTCGCAGGATGGCAAAGTGCCTCCTCAAGTCGGGCCGCAAGCTGGTCGTGTGGAACCGCTCCGCCGGCAAGTGTGCCGCTCTGTCGGCGGACCACCCGGGCGCGGTGACGGCGGTCGACAGCCCTTCGGCCGTCCTCGCCGCCTGCGACCTGGTCTACTGCATGCTCTCCACGCCAGACGCGGTCAAGGCCGTGTACGAGATGGAAGGCGGCGTGCTCGCGGGCGTGCGCGCCGGCACCAAGCTGGTGGACTGCGCGACGCTCGCCGCGGAGGACATGGTGCGGCTGGAGAAGCAGGTGACGGAGCGCGGCGGCCGCTTCCTCGAGGCGCCGGTCTCCGGCTCCAAAGGGCCCGCCGCGTCCGGGCAGCTCATCTTTCTGACGGCGGGCGACGAGCCGCTCTTCGAGGAGATCAAGGGCACCGACCTCGAGGCGATGGGCAAGGCCTCCTTCTTCTTCGGCGCGCCGGGCAAGGGCGCGCGCATGAAGCTGGTCGTCAACATGGTGATGGGCACCATGATGGCCTCGCTCGGCGAGGGGCTCGCGCTGTGCGGCGCGGCGGGCATGGACTGCGAGCAGCTGCTAAAGGTGCTCGACCTAGGCGTGATGTCCAACGGCATGTTCCGGCTCAAGGGGCCGAAGATGGTCCAGTCGGACCACGCGCCAAACTTCCCGTTGCAGCACGCGCAAAAGGACATGCGGCTCGCCGGCGAGCTGGGCGCGCAGCTCGGGCTCGGGCTGCCGGTGGCGGCGGCGACCAACGCCGCGATGCTGGCGGCGCGCGAGCAGGGGCTCTCCGACGAGGACTTCTCGTCCGTCTACGAGGCGCAGAAGAAGACCAAGCCCTGACGCAACGGCTCCGAGACGCGGGCTCTGGCGCGCGGCGCGCGAGAGAGCGCCGCGCGGTCCCGAGCCGCGGCTCCCGCTGCGCGCCGCTGTCGAGCGACGCAGGTTGGCGGCCGAGCGCAGCACGCCCCGGAGGCGGGCGGGCGGCAGCCGCTCCGTCGAGCGTTGTTTCCCGTATTCAATCATATTCCGCTGGTTATTGGTTGGTGTTTTGCGTCCTTGAGCTCAAAAGGATGATAGCCAACTCATTTTCTTGTTTTCTTGCTCGTTCAATTCTTTTCCCACGCGAGTCCCTGCGAGCCGTCTTCTTACCAGGTTGCAACCCTAGTCTCGCACTGTGCTGTGAACAGAGCACCAACCAACAGCTCTCAGGACCCCCCGGTGCTGGGGTGCTGCCAGCAACCAACCAACTCGCCGGCGAGCGGAGCGAGCCGAAGAGCTGTGGGCCACGCCTGCCCACCGGGACCGACCGCGTGCAGGAAGCCGCATCGCCAGCGCCGTCGCAGCATCGAGCGGCGCGTCCTCCCCAACCAGCGGCGTGTATTACCATAGGTCGTCGGCTTTGCCGACGGGCGACGTGGACGGACACAGGCAGGGACGGGCGAACCACGTACCCGAACAAGCATGACCAGCGAACGGGGCATTGCACTACATAGTGCGGGACCTGGGGCAGCAACCAACAACCTGGATGGGGACGGGGTGCTGCGCAACCGACGCCAACCAGCAGCGTTCACAGCACAGTGCGAGACTAGGGTTGCAACCTGGTAAGAAGACGGCTCGCTGGGAAGGAGCGCTGGCTGGCGTTGCAGCCAGCCAGCCTTCTCGGACTCGGACGCCAAGGACCCTGCTTGGCACGGCATGACAGTCGTCCCCGAGTACCTCGAGGAGACGGACGCCCTCTCGTGGGCCTCGTTCTGGGTTGGATCAGTGGGCGCAGCGATGATGATGGCCGGCTACTTCTCTCTGCTGCGTGGCTTTCTGACCGAGCGCAGCCCCTACTACCACGCGCTGAACGCAGGCGGTGGCGTGCTCGCTGCGACCGGCGCGCTGCTGGAAGCGCTGATGGGTTCCCTCGGCGCCTATCCTCTGGTGGTGCTCGAAGGTGTCTGGGGGCTGCTCGGGCTGATCGAGCTGGTGAAGGCAGCGCGAGCCTCGTCACAAGGAGTGCCTCGTGCCTCACATTCGCTATCGAGAGGGAGCGTAGGAAAGCCCCTGCCAGGACCGCAGCACGAGGCTTTGTGCGGCGCAGCCGCTGTTGTTTAGTACGCGCACCGAGGTTCCGGGCGACGAGAGCCACCCCGCGCATTTTGTTGAGTCTTGAGACCTGTGGGGGGAGAAATAAAACGAAGACGTCTACTAGGAGATGGGGTGTGTGACGTGGATGTCTCTTACGTGTCTTGAAATAATTAGGGAATAAAGCCATCTGTGTAGACGCGCACAGGGCCGCGCGGGGAAGGCACGTGTAATCGTCCTTACACCGCTGAAGCTGCGCTGAAGAAGCCCGGCCCACACAAGACACTGGCCGCCCTCTGACTCAGAAGCGCTCAGACTATGTCGTACGCGAGAGCTAAAGCTCTCGGTCTGGGCGAGCTCCGCCGCCGCGCGACCTCTGAAGCTGCCACCCCAAGGCGCCTAGCCCAGAATGAATCGCTCGACGGCGTCGAAGCACGGCCCCGGCGCCTGCTTATAGACCCAGTGCCCCGCGCCCTTGACGCTGACGACGGAGCAGCCCTCCGTCAGCCGCAAGGCGTCGAGCGCCGCCTCGGTGTGCCTGGGACAGGCGAGGAGGATGGGTGAGCGCCGCCTCGCCGCCGCGCTGCTGGGCTCGACTGCTCGGCTGCCAGTGCGCGTTCTTGTCCTCGCCGAAGACGTAGAGGATTGGCTGCCGCTTCAGCGCCGAAGCGAGGCTGACGTTGGCAAGCGCGCGTCTCCGGCCCTCCCGGTCGGCGAGGAGGGTGAGGGCGTGGAAGTAGGGGTAGCAGCGGTAGGGCGTGACGGCCTTGGAGGCAGTCGCCTCCCCGTTTGGCTCCTGCCAAGGGCGGAGCCCTGTGGGCCCAAACGCACGCCCGCCCCAATCGAGAGGCCCGAGCGGCGAGAGGAAGGGGCAGAGCCAGGCGACGAAAAAGACGGTATAGAGGCAAAGCCAACCGACCGGCGCACAGCGGCGCCAAAGGAAGAAGCATGCGCCGAGGCTGGCCCAATAGAGCAGGTGGATCGCCTCGTGCCTCAGGCTCTCTGGCCGGCAGAGAGAGACGGTGCCGTCCGACGCGCTGTGCATGAGGTCCGTCGCGTGGATCACCTACACGCGGGGAACTGGGTCGCGGTGCGGGACGACGGAGCGTGCGCTCGGCGCTTTGCAGCGCGGCCGCACGTCAAACAGCACGAGCTTATCGCAGCCAAAGTTGTTCGCGAACGCCAGCCCCGGGTAAATGGCCCAGTCATGCACAACAACGGAGAGGGTGGTTGTATCTGACGCGGCCCTGCTGCTCCGGCCAGCGTACAGCGCGCTGCGCCGCGTGCTCTGCGCACGAAGGGCCGCCGCCGCCTGCGCAAAGGCCTGCGGGATCTCGTCGAGCGTGTAGCCCTGCGGCCGCAGCAGCGGCCCCTCGCGTTCAAACTCGGGCATCGAGCACACTCCGACGAGGCAGCCGCGCTCCGCGAGCCGCCGTGCGAGCGGCGCAAGCGAGGAGTGGTCGTCCGGGAACCCGGCGCAGAGCAAGACCAGATGGTCAGCGCCAGTCGGCCCGGCGACGAAGAGAGTGCCCGCGCCCTCCAGATCAAGAAGGTCGTGCGGGACCGCCTTGAAGAAGAGGTTCAGCAGCGCGGTCGCGCGCCGCGAGGAGGGTGACGAGGAGGGAGAAGACATAGGTGGCGACCGACAGGCGACAGCGAAAAAGAATTTTCAAAAAATAATCGCCATGGACTGGCGCGCACTGGCACTAAGTGCACCAGCGAAAAAAGAATTTTCGGTCGCAAAAAGGATTTTGGCTACACGGGACTATCTCTCCAGGAGAGGTCTGCTCTATTTATTTTGAGCTTAGCCTTCGATGTTATGAAACAAACGCAAGGCGGACATGGCATATCGCTCTCGGGCCCACAGACATCCCGCACACTCGCCGCACACCCGCCGCCCCCGCGCGCGCCCCGCCCCGGCCGGGAGAAAGGGGAGTGACAGTTTGGGATGGCAACAGAACGAGTATGTTGAGTCCTGGGCACATCAGGACATCACCAGCACGCGACAGCACCATCGGACCCCACTTGCCCGCTCGGGTGCAGGCGTCATAACTCATATGATTTCACACACGCTGGATTTCGCACACGGAAGCGAAATTTTATCGTGCTGGTAGCACGTTGGATGCTGCCGTCGGCCTAGCGGATCGCGAGAGCTCATACACGAAGAGGGATATCAGAGTGAACAAGCTCACGGCCACCGTGGGCAGCAGCCGCCGCAACGCACCAGCGATGGCCAGCGTCATCGTGGGCGTGGCCAGGAGCACCCTCATGCGCGGACTGGCGCGAGCGGCGGCACGAGGCGCGATCCGCGCCGGAGCGTGTGCAGGCCTGGCGTTGGGGTGGCGCACTGCCTCGGGAGGCGGCATTGCCACTTGCCGACGGCTCGGCACGCCATGCCACTCGGAATGTCCATCCCAACCGTGAAGCCGACGGCAGAGCGGAGAGATGCGCGACGTGTGGACAGCCGCCGCGGTGGGTGTCAGGAGGAGCAGCAGTACGGAGGAACTCGGGCACATGGCGGCAGCGAGGCGCTCTCGGTCCTCCGGCGCTCAACTCCTTTCGAATCAGGCTCGCTTTGCGAATTTTCCTAATAATCAAAGGAGGTTGCATTTGCAATCGAGGCTTCGGCCAACGATATTATTGCTGCCGCAGCGGTACGAAACTGCGCAGTCCCCGCCGTCACGGCTTGCGCCCAGCGGCTCCACGGCCGCCGCGGTCCCCGCCGCCCTTGTCGGACTTGATCTATCTGCGCCTGGAGAGCGGCGACCTGGGACTTGGCGGCCGCGAGCTCCTCCTTGAGCGCTCCTTGCGAGGCAATCTCCGCCTCGAACGCCGCCTGCGCAGCCGCCTTGGCCTCGTTGGCGCGGTCCGCGTTGTCTTGGTCGAGGATGCCCTGCATCGCGAGCGTGGACGCCTTGAGGCCGTACGTCTTGCCCGAGTGCACGGCGAGTTGGCGCTGCACGTCGATCTGCACACGCATGTTTGCGCCCCGAGCGTGGCCCCCTTGGCGCCGATCGCGTCGAGGATGTGTTCCTCGATCACCGTGTCGGGGAGGTGCCACTGGGAGTCCTTGAGCAACTTGTTCGCCTGCTCGATGCCCGTCTTGAACTTGGCGAGGCTCGCGGACGTGAGGTCGTTGAGAGCGTCGGGGGAGATCGCCTTTTCGAGGTCCGCGCGCAGCGCCTTCGTGCGCACGTTCTTGGAGTTCGGGTCCTCCGACTCGATGAGCGACTTGATCGCCGCGATGCCCTTCTTGATGTCGTAGTGGTCGGCGTCCTCGTCCGCCAACATCTCGGCCAGCGTCTCGTCGCCCTTGACGGCGTTCTGCAGCAAACCGTAGAGAGTTGGAGCTCATCACGTGCGACCAGCCCATGGCGTACACCTGGGCGGAGCGCGGGGAGGGCGAGACCTGGTACTGCGAGATGCCGAAGGGGCTCAAGGGCAAGCCCGAGTACTGCTACATCGATCCCATCACCGGCGAGGAGAAGGACATGGTGTGCGAGGTCGGCAACCTCTACGGCGCACCATCCGCAGGTAACGCTTGGTGGAACATGGTCAAGTCCATCAATAAGGCGTTTCCTGGGCTCGTTCAGTCCGAGGCGGACCCGAGCTGCTTCACCCTCACCCGCAACAGCACGAAACTCATCGTCGTCATCTACGTGGACGACTTCGGCATCTTCCACTCCGGGACCACCGCTGGCAAGGCGCTCGCGCACGAGTACATCGAGCACTTCAACAAGCACGTCGGCAAGCCGCTCAAGGTCCACGAGGGAAAGGTGCACGAGTTCCTCGGGCTCACCATCACCAAGACGCAGACCGGTTTCAAGCTGTCTGCCAGCAAGTACATCGACATGCTGCGCGCGCGCTTCTTCCCGTCAGGCGTCACGCACGCGGGCTACAAGGTGCCCGCGGACAAGGACCTCCCGTCCATCGTCATCAGCGCAGCCGAGAAGAAGACCGCGCCCGACCCGCAGCTCCTCCAGCGCTGCCAGTGCCTCATCGGCAGCCTCATGTTCGCCACCAACGCGCGCCCCGACATCCAGTACACCGTCTCGCAGCTGGCGCGCTGCATGGCTTGGCCCGACGCGAACATCGAGGCCGCCGCCGAGCGCTGCCTCATCTACCTCATCGGCACGCATGCGCACCTTCGCCTCGTGGTCGATGCGGTCGGGGAGTTCCTCGAGCACCTTGGCGACAGGGACCCCCTTGCAGATGAGGTCGCCGATGCACTTGCCACCGTGCAATCCGTTGCAGTGGGGGCACGGCTTGCGCCCAGCGGCTGCGCGGCCGCCGCGGTCCCCGCCGCCCTTGTCGGACTTGATCTGCGCCTGGAGAGCGGCGACCTGGGACTTGGCGGCCGCGAGCTCCTCCTTGAGCGCGCCTTGCGAGGCAATCTCCGCCTCGAACGCCGCCTGCGCAGCCGCCTTGGCCTCGTTGGCGCGGTCCGCGTTGTCTTGGTCGAGGATGCCCTGCATCGCGAGCGTGGACGCCTTGAGGCCGTACGTCTTGCCCGAGTTCACGGCGAGTTGGCGCTGCATGCCGATCTGCACGCGCATGTTTGCGCCGAGCGTGGCCCCCTTGGCGCCGATCGCGTCGAGGATGTATTCCTCGATCACCTCGTCGGGGAGGTGCCACTGGGAGCCCTTGAGGAACTTGTTCGCCAGCTCGATGCCCGTCTTGAACTTGGCTTGGCTCGCGGACGTGAGGTCCTTGAGAGCGTCGGGGGAGTACGCCTTCTCGAGATCCGCGCGCAGCGCCTTCGTGCGCACGTTCTTGGAGTTCGTGTCCTCCGACTCGATGAGCGACTTGTGTGAAGGTCTTCAGTGACCACTCACAAGCTGTTCCAAAGCCTGACAGAAATGTACTGTCAAAACTTTGTTCAAACAAAAGTCCTGGCCCGCGGCCCCCACACCCACAATGACTATCAATCCACGGCTGCGGGTGAAGGGCAAAACCGCGCCGCTGCAGAACGGTTTTTGCAAAACCGTGCCGCAGCGGTACGAAACTGCGCAGATGCAGTCCCTGAGTGGTAAGGACACTATGTGTGTGTGTGTGGCCGTCGACTAGACGGCTGCGCGGTCGTCGGTCTTCAACACGTTGAGCACGGTGCGGGTCGTGCCGTAGCGGACGACGCTCGCGAAGGTCTTGGTGAAGTCGACGCCGGGCCGCATCAGGTTGCCCATGACACAGCCGCGCCACTTGGCAGAGATCTCGGCCTCGAATGTCGAGAGGGAGATGTGACCCTGCTTCTTGGAGAAGTACGAGATGATCGCGGTGCCGATCTTGAAGGCGCAGCCGGAGGTGCTCTGGCGGGTGCACCAGTTCGCGTCGGAGCAGCCGAAGAGCTTGGGGTCGGCGACGCGCTCGTAGTGGAGGCCGAGGTCCTGCGTGCCGATGAGGTAGATGAGGCAGCGCTCGGCGGCGGCCTCGATGTTCGCGTCGGGCCAAGCCATGCAGCGCGCCAGCTGCGAGACGGTGTACTGGATGTCGGGGCGCGCGTTGGTGGCGAACATGAGGCTGCCGATGAGGCACTGGCAGCGTTGGAGGAGCTGCGGGTCGGGCGCGGTCTTCTTCTCGGCTGCGCTGATGACGATGGACGGGAGGTCCTTGTCCGCGGGCACCTTGTAGCCCGCGTGCGTGACGCCTGACGGGAAGAAGCGCGCGCGCAGCGTGTCGATGTACTTGCTGGCAGACAGCTTGAAACCGGTCTGCGTCCTGGTGATGTTGAGCCCGAGGAACTCGTGCACCTTTCCCTCGTGGACCTTGAGCGGCTTGCCGACGTGCTTGTTGAAGTGCTCGATGTACTCGTGCGCGAGCGCCCTGCCAGCGGTGGTCCCGGAGTGGAAGATGCCGAAGTCGTCCACGTAGATGACGACGATGAGTTTCGTGCTGTTGCGGGTGAGGATGAAGCAGCTCGGGTCCGCCTCGGACTGAACGAGCCCAGGAAACGCCTTGTTGATGGACTTGACGTGGTTCCACCAAGCGTTACCTGCGGATGGTGCGCCGTAGAGGTTGCCGACCTCGCACACCATGTCCTTCTCCTCGCCGGTGATGGGGTCGATGTAGCAGTACTCGGGCTTGCCCTTGAGCCCCTTCGGCATCTCGCAGTACCAGGTCTCGCCCTCCCCGCGCTCCGCCCAGGTGTACGCCATGGGCTGGTCGCACGTGATGAGTTCCATGTCCTCCTGCGCGGCCACGTTGAGCACGGTGCGGGTCGTGCCGTAGCGGACGACGCTCGCGAAGGTCTTGGTGAAGTCGACGCCGGGCCGCATCAGGTTGCCCATGACACAGCCGCGCCACTTGCACCGGCCGTCGGACTTCCGGGAGGCGATCTCCTTCAGCGGGAGGACGCGCACCTTGGCGGGGCGGCGCATGGGCTTGAGCGTGCCGTTCTGGATGAGGCCGAGGAACTCGGTGTCATACGCTTTGTACCACACGTCGCGCAGCTTGGGGTCGCGGATGTTGGCGATGTCCTTGTAGTGCTTGGGCACGATGTTGTCCGGCATGGGCATGATCTGGCCGTCCACGCTCGACATGTACGCGACGCACTGATCCGTGGTGTTGCGGTAGACCGACGACGATGGGGATGCGGCCGCCGCAGCCGCCCAGATGCCGAAGGGCGTGGCATTGGCGGCGAGGCGGGCGTTGAGCATGTTGTTGTACTCGCCCGTCGAGACGCCGCCGCGGCTGCGGGTGGTGCGCGGCGCAGGCGCACCCGCTGCGGGCGGGTTGACGTTGCCGTCGTTGGCCGGGTCTGGCATGATCACCACCTCCTCGTCGAGGGTCAGCCCCCCGGCGTGGTTGTCGGTGGTGGGGAGGAAGACGGAGTCGCCGCGGGTCACGTTGTTGTCGAGCGTAGCCTTGTCCGACTCGTCGGGCGTCTCGTCCGCGGTCACAGGCTCCGGCCACGCGCCCTCGATGTCCGTCGGGGTGAGGTCGGAGGTGGGAGCACGGTACTCGATGCCGTTCCAGAGCTCGTTGACGCAGAAGGTCGCCTGCGTGGTGGTGCCGATGTGCCCCTTGCGCGGACCCTCGGTGATGACGTACTTCCAGCCGGGCGAAGTGCGCGAGATGCCGAGGAAGGCCGCCATCTCGCCCGTGGGTGAGACACCGTTCGCCACAAGGTGGGGGGGCGACTTGACGATCATCTTGCACGCCCACGGGTAGAACATGTTCATCTTGGGGCGCTGCCCGGTCTTGAGCTCGTACGCTGACTTGCCGGTGTCGCGCACGGCAAAGGTGGCGTTGGCGATGGTGGCCGCGTACACCC